CATGCCAGGCAAGCGCGCTACTGCTTGAGCCACATCCCCAGCCCTCCACTAGTCTTAAACTCTGGGTTGAATGTAGATGTCCCTCTTGACCTGCTATTCCCAACCTGAAGGACTATTTTGTCTAGTGAGCAGACTCAAATGACAGAGAATTCTGCTACATTTTTAGCTCTGTAAACTTGAGTAAAGTGTTTAATCTCTCTCAATCCACTTCCTTATCATAAAGTGGAAGATTTACTTCCTCCCAGGGTTTTATGGACTAAATACAATGCATAAAATACCTAGAATAGTGAATGACATGGAAAAGGTGTTAAATGCTAAATTGCTCTTTTTCTCCTTTCTACCTTCCTCTTCCCATATATATCCTTCAACTTAAAATAATGTTAATAATAGTTCATATCTACAATGTGCAATGCAGTAAATGCATAATTAACATGTACTATGTGAAGAACTGTCCTTGCATTTTACTGTTTCACTTAATGCCCTAAACAATCCAGTGAGGTAGGTGACCACAGGCTTAAGGCCAGAAGTTCTCAAAGTATGGTCTGTAGACCTCTGGGGTTCCTGAGACCCTTTCAGGATCAAAATTATCTTAATAATCTGAAAACAGGGACTGCAATGTTATTGTGATAATTTTACTAATGGAGCAAGATCATGTCTTGTTGTGACTCCAGCTGGTCCTGGGAGTCAGGGCACTTTCCACCACCACTGGCTCTTTTAAGGAAAACAAAGCAGTTTCTCTTAAGAATGCTTTTGATGAGGCAATAAAAGTTATTAATTTTATTAAATATTCACTCTTGAGTGTACCTTTTTAACATTTTCTGTGCACCGAAATGGAAAACATGCCTGAAATACTCCTGCTGTATAACGAGGTAATGTTTTCTCCAGGAAAGTCCTGGTTTGAGTTTGAGTTAAACTGACTTCTTTCCTTATGAAACAACAAAGGATTATTAACAGACAAACTAGGGCTGTTCAGACTGGTTTTCTTGAAATATGAATTGAGTAAGCCTGTCACTTCAAGAAACATTCTTTGTTGCCAGGGATAAAATTTTAGTTTCCATGTGAAAATCTGATTTTGGGAAAACTTGTATCTATCACTGTGAGCTTGACCCCTTTCTAATACTCTTAGGAGTTTTCCTCTGAGCTTGGTGGGATATGAATGAGTATGTACTTTTGATGTTGCATAATGCAATGTGTCAACATTGGGAAGACCAGCGTAATTCAGTGAACTGGGTATTTTCGAAATGACCAATGCATTTATGGTTTAGTGCATTGGTGCATGCCTGTAATTCCCGCAACTCAGAAGGCTAAGGCAAGAGGATTGTAAGTTCCAGGCAGCCTGAGAACTTAACAGAGATCCTGTCTCAAATAAGTTCTGGGGATGTTGCTCAGTGGTAGAGTGCCCTTGGATTCAGTCCCCAGTATCACACATGCTTGTGCACACACACAGTTAATTTATAATGGACTTTTATTCTACATTTTAAAATTAATTAACATTTCAAACTTTTATTCATTTTTAACATAGCAAAAATGATACATACAACCTGCATAAACAAAAGTTCTTTGGGGTCCTTAATTTTAAGTGTAAAAACGTCCTGAAACCAATTAAGAATTACCCTCATTGTTATACAAAATTACATATAAGAGGTTGTGAGGGGAATGGGAAAAAAATAAGGAGAGAAATGAATTACAGTAGATGGGGTAGAGAGAGAAGATGGGAGGGGAGGGGAGGGGGGATAGTAGAGGATAGGAAAGGTAGCAGAATACAACAGTTACTATTATGGCATTATGTAAAAATGTAACCGATGTGATTCTGCAATCTTTGTAATGTTTTGAACAACCAATAAAAAAAAGAGTTACCTACGAAGATTAAAACTTGCACACACAATTAGTAAGTGATAGACCTAATTAAACCTAGACAGCCTGACCTCTGTCAATGTTCTCATTATTGATTTTTTTGATGTAAGGGCTTCAAAAAGATGATCTCTTACCTCAGGATTAGGGAATCCTAGGCAGATGAGCAGAATGTGTTCCTAGTTTTCACTGATTATACCTATAAGAGCCTTGGCATTCAATGCTATTCCAATTATGGACAAAAAGGCATCTGGAGCCCTTACCCTAGTATTACTCAGAAGATGACTCCTTTTTGTTATTTAAAATATGAATAAAGTGATGACCCATTCCCATCTTGAGTCAGGTTTTTTTTTTTTTTTTTTTTTTTTTTTTTGGTAATGCTGGGGATTGAGCCCAGGGCATTGAAGTGCTCTCCCACTGAGTGACATCCCCAATCCTCAGGCATCTTCTTGTACCTCAAATTTTTCTGTAAAGCTGTAACTCAGTAAGAAATAACATTTGCATCAAATTTAATATATGCATATGAATGTATATAAACATATAAACCTGAAACAAAAGCTTCATGAAACAATATCCTTATCATATATGATTTTTTTTCTTTTGGTTCTGAGGATTGAACCCAGGGCCTCAGCATGCTAAACACACAATCTACCTCTGAGTTACACTTCCAGCCTTCAAATATGATATTTTCAAATTTATCATCTCATTAAAAAGAAAAGTCAATTTAGTAAGCTGATTTTAAAACCCCCTGTAGTTTGAAAAACACTGCCCTACCAGGATGCTTCTCCAGGACAAAAGTATACCCATGGATGAGACATATTAATACAAGCAGTTCAAGAAAGGTAGGAATCTTTCCAAACAATCTCATGTATTACTTGGTTATTAGAAAGTTAATGCATTTCCTATGAAACAATCTGAAAGGTAATTGGGAAGGGAAACAGCCCCGTCTAGCACAAACATTATTTATTTCTCAATATTGATCCTGAGAGGAAGAAAACATTATTCCATTATGTAGATGGGATTTGAGGCTCAGAGAGGTTAACAGATACTTAACTCAGGTCATTTGGCTTCCAAACCGTGCTCTTTCTGGTATATTAACAGCAGTTCCTTATGTTTATACGAATAGCTCCCTTGAATAGCCACTCCTCCAAAAAGAACAAAACAAAAAGTTCAGCCAAAATTTAGCAGGACACTATAGAACTAATTACCATTAATGGGAATAATCTATGGATTATCCATAGTTATAATTTGGGCTTTCAAAAACACATCCTCACAGTGGTAGCAAGTTTCTAACACTCACTTAACTCCCCCAATTTACTCTTGGAGTAGGGGAGGTGGTAGTGGTTGTCTCCTCTGCCCTGAGACTCTGCCTCATTCCATCTTTGTTCAGCTCTCTGAAATCTTTTTCCCCAACTCCCAAATAAAATATCCTGAAAGAATAATCTCTTTTTGCTCAGCATTAAACATGTTGGTATGAACTACCATTCCTGATACATACTTGTTTCCTGAGGCAGAAACAACTTTACATTTCTACCCCTAAAAATGGAAGTTGGATGGGTGGATGTTTGGTTTCTGAGGGACTAGTCTTAATATTCCCATCACAAACTTAACCCTGACAGAGTGGCACCCAAGATGAAAAACAAAAAGCACTTGTTCTGGCCCCTGGCAATCAGGCAGTCAGCGTTAAGCCCACTGCTAGTACTCTGCAGTCACAAGTAAGGGGCCCCAGCTTCCAGCCTGTGGCCCTGGCTAGCTGCTCAAGTGGGAGTCCAGGTCACACATTTTTACCTGTGAGATCAAAGTCTGTGATCAGTAGGGTCTTCAGAGCTTTAGACCCTGAGTAGCACCAGGAACAGCCATGCTCCTCCTATCCACCCAGCTCCTGGAGGAGGAAGGCTGTTGGCTCACCCCCACATTTCTTACCTACTACTTTCTTTACTTTCTATGGTTAGGCATTCCCAAGCTAAAGAATGAGCAAATGAACATTTTATTAGTATTTTATTTGCATTTTTGGAGAAGATACACAGTTTCACAAGAAACACTGATTTTTCTCAAATAATAGAAAAAGGTTCTTAAAAAAGAATATTATCTTAGAAGAAAACAAGTCTCTTCAGCAAGCCAGGACCAATTCATACTGGAGGAACCAGTGAAGTGGAAGTTACACATAGGAAGAAAGTTCAGGTTTATGCGTAAGTGTCTTCTTGTCTTGTCTGTAAGGGCAACCTTAGCTTAACACTGGTAATAAGCTCACAGACAAAGCCTCCAGGGTACAACAGTTGCACTCAGGGCTGGCTCACTCTCCAGGAGGCTGCATCTGTTTACAGAACTCATCAAACTGCTGCTGCTCCAGTTCCGTCATGACTCTGTTGAGGGCATAGATCTGAATAGAGAAACAGATATGTTAGCAACGGAAGCAGCTGTTCAGCACAGTCTTCAGACACAATAGGCTAAGTCATCTGAAAATGCTGGAACTGCACCAGTAATGGTAACGCAGGGAGAAGGGTTTGGGAACAGGAAGGTAGGTATTAATTCCATCTGGGGAGTCAAGAAAGAAGCAGTGAGAGAGGTGACTTGGTCTTTAGGGAATGGTAGGCTCTGAAGAGATAGAGACAGATGCGACTTGATAGATAATGGGAGGAGTATTATGCATAAATAAATATGAAGGAAAAGAACAGGATCATGTTCTGGAATTCAAGTAAGAATACAGAGTGGAGGTTGGGGAGCGGGAGAAAGCAAAACAAGTATATTGGGTCCTCAAATGCCATCCCAAAGAATCTAGACATTATCTGCAGACTTTGGAGAGCCAGGAACGATAAGTGTGCAGGGGAGCAAGCCAATTCCATCTGTGCTTTGGGAAAGATAACTGGAGGCCACAGGAGGATGGAGTGGTGGTGGGAGATCATCAATCACCCAGGAGGCACCAGGGAGACTGTGGGATTATGGCCTAGGGTAGTGGAAAGAACTGCCCACAGACATTCCAAAGTGAAAGGTGGGAGTCTACATCTTCCTCATTCCTTCTTCCTCACAGTAATTTACCTATCTATTAAAGAACAGAAACCAATCATAAAACTTCCCAATGTGCAGAATAATGTAGTTTCTGTGTGTCTAGGAGATATAACTTGGTTAATTGAAAAGAAGACATGAAAGGAGAAAAAAAATGAAATGAGACAGGACAAATAGAAAATACAACAAAAGAGCAGAGAGTAATACAATAACAACCAAACATACAATGGAGAGGATCACCAAAACTACAAGATGGCTCTTGGAAAAGTACTAAAAAACCCTTGAAAACCTGACATGCCTGATCAATATGAAAAGGGAGTGGGCATGGCAAGCATCATTAGGAACTGAAAAGAGCACAGGACCATGGACATGACAGAGATGAAAACAAGACATCATGAATTTATGTCAAGACATTTGAAAGCTTCATATTTCTAGAGAAAGCAAACTGAACTGATCAAAGCTTACTAGAAAGCTTGATCTTATCATCTTTAAGGAAAAAGAAATTCCACACAGTGATGAAAATAGTGACAACTACAAACGATTTCCCCCAAAATGTAACGCTGATGGTGAAAGTGGTAAATTGTATTTTATGTATATTTTGCCACAAATAAAATAATTTGAATGGTTAAAAAATGTTGAGTGCTAGATGCAGTGGTGCATGCCAGTAATCCCAGTGGCTCAGGAAACAGTGGCAGGAGGAGTGTGAGTTCAAAGCCAGCCTCAGCAACTTAGTGAGGCCTTAAACAACTTAGTGAGACCCTGTCTCAAAATAAAAAATAAAAAGGGCTGGGGATGTGGTTCAGTTTAAACACCCCTGGGTTCAGTCCCCAGTTACTGGCTTCCCCCAAAAAAAGTTGAGTGAAGAGAGCTAGTCACAAGGAAGACAGATAGACACACACACACACACAATGTATATAGAAGTTCAGAAACATGAAAAACTAAATGATATATTTAGTTTATATAATTAGGACTACACAGAGATAGTAAATTTATAGAGAATAGCAAGGGGAAAAGATTAGCAAAAAATTAAGCAAGAACACTGCTTATGTAAAGGGTCAGGTACATGACCAGAAAGGTGCTCAGAGTTTCCAAGTTCTGGTCATGTACTAGTTCTTAAATTGAAAGGTAGATACAAGGGTGTTTTATTCTTTAAACTATATACACACATTATATGAATATGTGTATGTGTGTTTCTAAAAATCTCTGTCCCATTCACTTGGTAACTAACAAGCATTTGTCATCTGCATATTATTGGGCTGGGGCCTGAGAGGGATATTAAATAGCTTCTTGGAGCCCTCCACTTTAGAAAGGCAGTGGCAGGAGAAAGGGGAAAACAAAATAGGCAGGGGAAGAAGAGAGTCAAAATGGGTCAGGGTGTCCAAGCCAAGGAATGAAAGGCTTTTGGTCAAGTAGGAAAGGGTCACTAATAGTGTCAAATACTGCTTCAGCTGCCAAATGTGCCTCATTCCCATTCATCCCTCACATCTCCTTCACATTGAACTTTCTGGAATGTGGCATCTTTGCAGAGCTGAATGGAAAATGCTGCTTCCTGTGAGGGGGTCTTGTCACATTGCTATTTTACGTGATTACATTCCAGGCAATACAGATAAAGAAAATAGCAAGGAAGCTGTAGGGCAAAGCAAAAAACAGACAAGGGTAAGAAGGCCTGTTCAAACTATAGGCCTGCCCCTCTGGTCACATCACTTTGTCACTTTGCTTTAAAGGGTCTTACCTCACAGAGTCATATGTTTTATATATCCATACCTTATTCCAGGAAGAATTTACAAAGGATAAAATGGGAATAACAATAATACCTGCATTGGTGGGGGGATTACAAGTGTTCATGCATGTGCAGGCTCAGCCCAGTCCTGGCACATCCTAAGAGCTCAACAAGTGCCACCTGCCACTAGACTGCAAACCCAGAATACATCTCAGCAAAGAACACAAACAGGATGTTCATTTTGCAGTCCACACGAGGAAAGCAAGCAGACTGCTTGGAAGTACCATGATTCCTGATCATAACTGCTGCTACTTATGGAATGCCTTCTCTGTGCCAGGCACTGTATTAAGTGCTTTACATATGACATTTCTATTCCTTATAATAGTCTTGTGAGATAGACAGTTGCATCCTCATTTTACCAAGCAGGCACTGAAGAAGTGAGGTTCAGCAGGGTGCAGTGGCACTTGCCTATAACCCCAGAAGCTCAGTAGGCTGAGATAGGAGGATTGCAAGTTTAAAGCCGGCATCAGTAATAGAGAGGTGCTGATCAACTCAGTGAGACCGTGTCTCTAACTAAAATACAAAATAGGGCTGGGTATGTGGCTCAGTGGTTGAGTGCCCCTGAGTTCCATCCCCGGTACCAAAACAAAAAACAAAAAAACAAACACATGTCTGAAGAACTGTGTGAACTGAGGTTCAGAGAGATTAAATTTCTTTTCCAGGGTCGCTGTGATTTGAAATCAGACAAATAATTTCAACTTCTGTAACCTCACAGGAAGAGTAGCAATAAGGACATGAACAACGTTCTCAGTATCTATCTTTATAGTGTGCACAAAGGATGATTTCATAGGGTTGTTTCTTATAGCAACCCTCAAACTGTTTGCCAAAGCATGATGCAATAAAACCATCCAGTAAAGGAAAGGGCAGAACCACTTGTTAGAACCCAAGAGCACACCTTTCAGGTGGTCTGCTTTAATCGAGAGGTAGATTTTCATTTACAGATTAACTTCAGACATGCTGTTATATTTATTACATTTACTAGAATGCAAGCTCCATGAAGGCAAGGACTCTGCTTTGTCCAGTCATGGGTCTCAAGTTCCTAGAATAGTGCCCAAAACAGCAGTATGGCTGCTGTTTGTTTGCAGTACTGGGGACTTAATCTAGAGCATGCTAGGCAAACATTCTACCACTGAGCTACATCCCTGACCTTTTTATTTTACTTTGAGACAGGGTCTTGCTAAAATTCACAGGCTGGACTTGAACTTGTTATTTTCCTGCCTCAGTCTCCCAAGTAGCTGGGATTACAGGTATGTGCTACCATGCTCAGTTTCTGTATTTGTTCATCAAATGGATCAGATTAACAAAATTAAAAGTTTGGCAATATTAAGAAGTGAGAAGTCTCATACTGCTAGTGGGGGTACAAGTTTGTACAATTGCTTTGAAAGCAATTTGGCAATGTGTAGTAAAACTGAGAATGTAATTCAGTAACTCTTCCAGTTAAATATCCTATAGAAATCCTAGCACAGATGCCAAAGGAAACATCTCAAAGGTTATTACAACAGCAAACCTTTTTTGTTTGTAAAAGCAAAAAAAAAAAAAAAACTATAAAATGTCAGTCACTGAAAAAATGGGTAAGTATACAAAATAAGGTATTTATAAAATAAGACTGCTATAGAGAGAAATTAACTAGATTCTTATGTTAAAATGAAGAGCTCTAAAATAATGCAAACAAAATGCAAAAATGCACAGAATTTTATTAATGTAAAAAGTTAAAACACAAGAATATTGTACATTGTTCAAGGATATCTGTTAATATATTTGAATGTAAATGTATAAAAATATTGCTTACCTTTGGGAAGGGAAAAGGGTAATAAACAAAGGGGTATTCAATTTACCTTTTTTTTTTTTTTTTTGGTACCAGGGATTGAATTCAGGGGCACTCAACCACTGAGCCACATCTCCAGCCCTATTTTGAATTTTATTTAGAGACAGGATCTCAATTGAGTTATTTAGAACCACGTTTTTGCTGAGGCTGGTTTTGAACTC